TTGAGGGCTGAAATCAATCAAGTAGAAACCAGGAAAACATTGAGAAGAATCAACGAAACAAAGAGTTGGTTCTTTGAGAAAATCAACAAAACAGACAAACCTCTGTCCAAACTAACCAAAAGACAGAGACAGAGCATGCTAATTAACAAAATCAGAAATGAAAAGGGGGACATAACAACGGACACTGAGGAAATCCAAAGAATCATCAGGGAATACTTTGAAAATCTGTACTCCACAAAATTTGAAATTTTAAAGGAAATGGACAATTTCCTGGATAGATATCACTTGCCAAAACTAAATCAAGAACAGATAAGCAATAGACCTATAACCCTTAATGAAATAGAAGCAGTCATCAAAAGTCTCCCAAACAAAAAAAAGCCCAGGCCCAGATGGCTTCGGTGCAGAATTCTACCAAAAATTAAAAGAAGAGCTCATTCCAATACTCCTCAAAGTATTCCACACAATAGAAGCAGGAGGCTCACTGCCAAACTCTTTTTACCAGGTTATAATTACCTTGATACCCAAGCCACACAAAGACACAACTAAGAAAAAGAAATATACACCAATTTCCCTCATGAACATCGATGCAAAAATACTCAATAAAATACTAGCAAACCGGATTCAAGACCACATCAGAAAAATCATCCACCATGATCAAGTAGGCTTCATCCCAGGAATGCAGGGGTGGTTCAACATTAGAAAATCTATCAATGTAATCCACCATATAAACAAACTGTGAAAGAAAAACCACATGATCATCTCACTAGATGCTGAAAAAGGCTTTGACAAAATCCAGCACCCCTTCATGATAAAGGTCTTGGAGAGATCAGGGATAACAGGAACATACCTGAACATAATAAAAGCAATATACAGTAAACCAACAGTTAACATCAAACTAATGGAGAAAAACTCAATGCAATTCCTCTAAAATCAGGAACAAGACAAGGCTGTCCACTCTCTCCATAGCTCTTCAATATTGTACTTGAAGTTCTAGCTAGAGCAATAAGACAGCAAAAGGAGATAAAGGGGATACAAAAAGGAAAAGAAGTCAAGCTTTCACTATTTGCAGATGATATGATGGTTTAAATAAGTGACCTGAAAAACTCTGCAAGAGAACTCCTAGAGCTGGTAAACGCCTTCAGCAAAGTGGCAGGATACAAGGTTAACTCAAAAAAATCAGTGGCCCTATTATATACAGATGATAAAGTGGCAGAGAAAGAAATCAGAGAAACATCACCCTTTACAGTAGCCATAAACAGCATCAAATATGTGGGGATAATGTTAACCAAAGAAGTGATAGACCTGTATATCAAGAACTTTGAGTCTTTAAAGAAAGAAATCAAAGAGGATACCAGAAAATGGAAAGATCTCCCATGCTCTTGGATTGGTAGGATCAACATAATAAAAATGGCAATCTTGCTAAAAGCAGTCTACAGATTCAATGCAATCCCTATCAAAATCCAGCACAATTCTTCACAGACCTGGGAAGAACAATAATCAACTTTATATGGAAAAACAAAAGGCCCAGGATAGCCAAAACAACCCTGTACAATAAAGGAACTTCAGGAGGCATCACCATACCTGACTTCAAGCTCTTTTATAGAGCTATAGTCCTGAAAAGAGCTTGGTATTGGCACAAAAATAGACAGGTAAACCAATGGAACCGAATTGAAAACCCTGATTTTAACCCATACACCTATTAACACTTTATTTTTGACAAAGAAGCTAAAAATATACAATGGAAAAAAGAAAGCATCTTCAACAAATGGTGCTGGCATAACTGGATATTGGTATGTAGAAGACTGCAGATAGATCCAAGTTTATCGCCTTGTACAAAACTTAAGTCCAAATGGATCAAAGATATCAACATAAATCCAACCACACTGAAACTCTTAGAAGAGAAAGTTGGAGATACTCTTCAACAAGTTGGTACAGGAGACCACTTCCTGAACATAACACCAGTGTCACAGACTCTGAGATTGGCAATTAACAAATGGGACCTCCTGAAACTAAAAAGCTTCTGTAAGGCAAAGGACACAATCAAAAAGACAAAAAGGCAGCCCACAGAACGGGAAAAGATATTCACTAACCCTACATCTGACAGAAGGCTGATCTCCAAAATTTACAAAAACTCAAGAAGCAAGTCTCCAAAACACCAAAGGATCTGTGGGGTACAGAACTAAACAGAGAATTCTCAATAGAGGAGGCCAAAATGGCTGAGAGACACTTAAGAAAGTGCTCAACATCCTTAGCCATCAGGGAAATGCAAATCAAAACAACTTTGAGATACCATCTTACTCCTGTCAGAATGGCTAAAATCAAAAACACTGAAGACAATTTATGCTGGAGAGGATGTGGTGAAAGGGGAACACTCCTCCACTGCTGGTGGGAATGTCAACTCATACAGCCACTTTGGAAATCAGTATGGAGATTCCTCAGGAAAATGGGAATCAATCTACCACAAGACCCAGCAATTCCACTCTTAGGCATATATCCAAAAGGGGCAAATTCATACAACAAGGGCACCTGCTCCACTATGTTCATAGCAGCATTGTTTGTAATAGCCAGAACCTGGAAGCAACCTAGATGTCCCTCAACTGAAGAGTGGTTAGAGAAAATGTGGTAAATTTACACAATGGAGTATTACTCAGCAGAAAAAAACAATGGAATCTTGAAATTCGCAGGTAAATGGATGGCACTAGAAGAAACCATCCTTAGTAAGGTAACCCAGTCACAAAAAGACAAACATGGTATGTACTCACTCATATATGGATTTTAGACATGGATCAGGAGAGTGCCAGTCTGTACTTCCACTGACAGAGCGTCTGGGAAACAGGAAAGGACCTAAGAGATATGCATGGTACCCCAGAGAAGAGGAATCAGGCAAGATCTTCTGAATAGATGGGGAACATGGCGAGGGGTGGGGGGAGTGGGAGCTGGGAAGAAGAGAGGGGAGAAGATGAAGAGAGAGTAGGTCATGGGGGAACAGGAAGGTTGGGTGGGGGGGTAGGATAGGGGGAAGAGGGAATCATAGGTTAGAAGACAGATCAGGCACCAGTGTGACCTCTAGTGATCTAAAGGGATGACACCAACTAACAAGCTAAGCAATAGTGGAGAGACCACCTCGAATGTCCATTCCTGATAATGAGCTTGATGTCCATAACCATCCTGGAGCCTTTATCCAGTGACTGATGGAAGCAGAGGCAAACACCCACAGTTAAGCTCTGAACTGAACCCAAGGAACCCAGTGACAGAGAGAAAGGAGCGATGAGCAAATTGGCAAAGAATGGGCTGGTAAAACCAGCAGACACAGCTGATCTGAACAGGGGAGAGCTCTTGGACCCCAGACCGACAGCTGGGAGGCCAGCATGGGACTGATCCAGACTCCCTGAGTGTGAGAGTCAGTGAGGAGGCCTGGGCAACCTATGGATCCCTGAGCAGTGGATCAGTGTTTATCCCTGGCTTACAAATGAACTTCGTGTGTCCATAACACAAAGAGGGATGCTCTCTCAGCCTGTACTCTTAGGGGAGTGCCTGGCCCCTGCCCTGAGTGAAATGACAGACTCTAGATATCCCCTATGCAGAAGGAACAAGCTATTTAGAATTAAAATAATAATGAAAATAAAAAAGATAAAAAAATAAAAATCCTTTCTTTCCCTTCTAGAAATCTAATGTAGTGACTGCAAAGAAGACAGTGAGCAATGCCATGCCACCGTCTCCTGAATATCCATGCCAACTATCCAACTTGAGTCTAACTTCCACAATTAAATGTGCTCCCTCCCATTATTAATAGTTGACTTATTTCATTTGTCTTGGTCTTTGCAAACCTTCACAACATGGACCTTTACTTAAGGCCCTTCACATGACACTTAAGGTGGTCTATGTATAGCTAATACTTAGTTAGATATTCAGTGCTTTCTGTGGTCATACTTATGAAGAAATACTATGAAAGCACCCTAGATAGAAGACAAAACTAGGGATATATACTTTAAATACTATACTTCCATGATAGTAAATAATTGCTATGTTGCTCCCAAAAGATACACAGCTCACTTAACATTATCTGAAACATGATCAATATTTAGTAATTATTGACGTTTGTACAGTTATTTCTTTTAAAAATCACCTTTTTTCATGAGGGCCTGATAAAATCACCCAGCCTACTTCTTTCTGAGAATAAATAGAATTCAATTTTTAATTTAAAATCTGAGAGCAGCTGACTTTGTCAGGTGGTCCCAGAACCTTCAGTGTTGGTTTGTGCACATGCTGCTTCCCTTTCACTCACTTGCTGGTGAAAGGACATGGCCCACGTCAAGATCAATGCAAGTGAAGAGTCAGACATCCGGCGAGACTGGCCTATGGACTAGCAGTCCCTAGCTCCTTTGTCCCCCAGCACTGCACGTTGAAGAAAAAACTCCTAAACAAGGGTTTTACAGACTCCATTGATCACACCGCCCAAAATTTGAACCATGGTCATAAGAGCAAAAGGTAGTCCACCAGTGGCCATGAGTTAATCAGTCATTCTTAGCTTTATAAGCAGCTTTTTAAAACATATCATTTTTCATATCATGCACATCAAGTCAATGCAGGCGAATTCTCTGGGTCGTGGTGTGCAAGACTGGAGGAGCTCTGCCAGCAAATTGATTTCCTTTCATTGCACTGGTCACTAGGTAACTACCTTTTGTGAACAATGTTCAGATTCAGCAGCTCCATAAAATGGGGCTTGATTCTGATGACATTTTCAACTGAAATATCTTTACTGAAATGTAGAATGAGCTTAGTCACAGATACCTGTGTTCAGGCAAGGCAACAACATGGGTTCTCTTCTATCTCACAGTCTACGACACTCATATAGGATAAAGCATGACTTTGATTCTCACAAATGTTCCCAGAACAGACTGAGTGAATTCTATGTCAAACTCCAAGGAGAATCAAAGCTCAATTGATCAATTACAGACCCACTCACACATCCAGGGAAACAGTTTTATTTTTTTTTTTACCTTTGTCTTTGTCTCTTCCCTTTGTAGAAATTCCTTCTTTTTCCATAGTTTCTCTTTCTCCTCTTCCCTTTCTCTTCTTCTGACTGAAATTTCCATTTCCAGTTTTGCTAGCTCTTCCTGGTGGGCTCGCCATTGAGAAACCTGAAACACATAGAAACCCTTCATTCAATAACTATGCACTATCAATAGATTCATATCGGACAAATGTCTGTGTCACGTACATATAAATTTTATGTGCATATGAGGATATATGTGTGAAAGCTCGGCCAGAAAACAGCAACTTTAAGATAACTCATTCAGACCCTCTCTAGATGGACTCGGTCATAAGTGTATAACATTTCTGCAAAGAATCTGCGACTTCCAAAAAATTCTAGGCCAAGAGAATAAGCCTACCCCTGACACTGCCTGGAGTACCAGGACCCACAGGCTGGATGACCCAGAGACCTAGGATAGAATTAAACATGTCTAGAGATAAAAATAAAAGAGGTCAATGTAATAATACCTAACAATATTCTGCTATATTCATAGATTTGTGTCTAGCCCAATTGTCATCAAAGAAGCTTCATGCAGAAACTGAAGGAAGCAAATGTAGACCCACAGCCAAACATTAGGCAGAGCTTGGGGAATCCTGTAGAAGAGCAGGAGAAAGGATTGTAGGAGCAAGGAGGACAGGTCAAGGACACCACAACAAAACCCACAGAACCAACTAACCTGGGCTCATAGGGGCTCACAGAAGCTGAACCAACAACCAGAGAACATGAATGGAAATTACCTAGGCATTCTGCATATATGTCACACTTGTATAGCTTGGTCTTCTTGTGGAAACCCTAACAGTGGGAACAGGGGCTGTCCCTGACTCTTTTGTTTGCTTTTGGGACCCTATTCCTCATACTGTGTTCCCTTACCCAGCCTTAATACACACACACACACACACACACACACACACACACACACACACACATATGGGGAGAGAGAGAGAGAGAGAGAGAGAGAGAGAGAGAGAGAGAGAGAGAGAGAGAGAGAGAGAGAGAGAGATGGCTCTGACTCAGCAGGTAAAGGCATGCGCTGTCAAGCCTGATGACATCAATCCCCACATGGGTCAGAAAAGTATATTCCATTCCTGTAAGTTTTCCTCTGACTACATATAAATGCTGTGGCACAAGTGTCCCCACTCACCTAAACATACAAAAGAAAAATGTAATTTAAAAGGTAAGGTAGGGAGCAATCAAGGAAGATACCCAATATTGATCACAGGACTCTACACCAATATGGACATGTATCCACATACAAACATGCACATATGGGTACATTTACTGACTCACATATACAACCACCACCCAAATTCTAGAACTGATCTTAAGACCTTAAAAGGTTTAAGAAGTACTGACAGATTTCAGCTTCCTTACTTTATAAGCATGGAAAGTGAGCATAAATTAAGATGAAAACATAGAAAAGAACTTCCTGGGGATGGATATGTGCTATTGGTAGACAAATACTTTTCATAGCTTCTGTCAATACGCAAAGACATATCACAATATAAAATACACACAGCCTTAAATTTATATCCCTGACTCCAGGAAATTATCCAAAGATCATTGCATTGGATAGATTTTTGTTTGACTGCTTTTTGTTTTTCTATTGGTGTTTTTTGTTTTATTTGTTTGTTTGTTGTCAACTTGGCACAAACTGGAGTCATCCGGGAAGAGGAAACCATAATTGAGACAATGCCTCCATCAAATTTCCTGAGGGCAAACCTGTGGGACACTGATGTGGGAGGGTCCAGCTCTCTAGCAGCAGTACCTCACCTGGGCAGGTGCTCCTGGGTTCTCTACGAAAGTTGGTTGAGCAAAGCCATTGAAAGCAAGCTACTAAGCAGCGGTCCTGCATGGCCTCTGCTTCAGTTCCGCCTCCACATTCCTGCTTGAGTTTCTGATCTGACTTCCCTTCCTGATGAACTATAAGCTGTAAGCTGAAGAGAACACTTTCCTCCCTGTGTTGCTTTTGGTCATGGTGTTTAATCACAGCAATAGAAAGCAAACAAACAATACAACCATCAACTAGACAAATGCACAAAAATGTACCATAACAATGCTCTCTGAAGTGTAATTTAAAACACAAAAGTTGGGAAAAGACTAAATGCCCAGCAATAGAAGTTGGCTTAAATCTATTTTGGTACCTATGATTGAGAAATAATGCTATATTTCTATATTTGTTGTTATAAAATGTCTATATTATTTTAGGTGAAAAACAATATAAAACCACATTATGATCTCATTAGCATAAAGTGTCCATGTATCTAAGCAAAGAGAGACTTTTGGAAGGAGACTTGCCCACATGACAATTGAGCCTCACAATATTATTTTACAAGAGTTTTAAAAAGTTATTCTAACCTTTCTAGGCTGGATAAAGTTAATATAGCCTTTCTAAGCTGGGTACATTTTTAATAAACATATATAGTTTGTGTGTGTGTTTTTTTTAATTTTTTAATTTAAATTAGAAACAACCTTATTTTACATATCAATCCCAATTCCCTCTCCCTCCCATATTCCCATGCCCCCCAACAACCCCCCGCATCCACTCTCCAAGGAGAGTGAGGCCTTCCATGGAGGATCATCAAAGTCAGTCACATCCCCTGTGTATCTAGGCTGAGAGAGTATCCCTCTATGTGGATGAGCTCCCAAAGTCCATTTGTGCACTAGGGATAAATACTGGATCCACTGAGGTCCCATAGACCGTCCAGTCACCCCCCAACTGACACCCACATTCGGAGGGCCTGGTTCGGTCCTATGCTGATTCCCCAACTGTCAGACTTGGGTCATTGAGCTCCCACTTGCTCAGGTCAGTTGTTTCTGTGGGTTTCCCCAGCATGATCTTGACCTCTTTGCTCATCACTCCTGCCTCTCTGCAACTCCATTCCAGGAGTTTGGCTCAGTGCTGTTTATCTCTGCTTCTGCTTCCATCAGCTACTGGATGAAGGCTCTAGGATGGCATTTAAGGTAGTCATCAATCTCATTATCAGGGAAGGGCATTTAAGGTACCCTTCCACTACTGCTTAAATTCTTAGTTGGGTTCACCCTTGTGGATCTCTGAACATTTCCCTGTGCCAGATTTCTCTATAAACCTATAATGGCTCCCTTTATTAGAGTATCTCTTTTCTTGTTCTTCTCTATTCTTCCCTCGACTCAATCTTCCTGGTCCCTCATGTTCTTCTTCCCACTCTTCTCCCGTTATCTTTCTCCTACCTCCCTCTCTGCCCCTCTCCCTGTGCTTTCAATTTGCTCAGTAGATCTTGTCCCTTTCCCCTTCTCTTAGGGTCCTCCTTGTTTCCTAGCTTCTCTGGAGGTGTGGATTGTAGGCTGATTATTTCTTTGCCCTATGTCTAATATCTATTTATGAGTGAGTACATACCATGTTTGCTTTTCTATGTCTGGGTTACCTAAACAAATATGTTTTGTAAACAATAAACAAATGAGACTAAAGAAAAATAAAATCAAACATTTTCTTGGTCCTTGTATACATATGACTGACAAAGCAGTGAGGAAAACTACAAAAGAGAGCAAAACTCCTCTTACAAAAAGTAATAATTTTGCAAGTATTTGATTCAAACATCATTCATTAATAACACACGAAATTGAAAATTGAAAAATAATGTTATCCAAATATGATTAAAGTGCCTCCAAATCATTTAGCTCTTTAAATATTTTATATTGACTTCAAATTTTTCATTTTCTAAAAATCTATTTTGCCACACCTGTGAGAATAAGCAAGAAAACGCCACTTCCTGGCCTGCAGGTACAGCATCTACCCCATCACCTAATCAGCATGGCTGAGTTATTTGGACCTGGGACCTAGAACACGTCATCTTTGTCTGGATCCTGGTACATACTTTGCCTTTGAGTCTATCTCTTATTTGCAATTTCTACAGTCCAAACCAAGTGTCCTGACAACTGTTGTCAGCAGTCTCCCTCCTGAACTCTCAGAGGGATAATTCTGTTCTCTCCTCCACCTGCTGACCATCCTGGCAAGAGGCAGATTCTTTCCTTTGTTGCCGTGACACAGTCAAAAGTGCACAGTTCTCTCTCCCTTACGCATTCACCCCCGTACCCCCTTTCACCTACAGTCTTACTATTTCATTTTCAAGTCCTGTTCTGTGGAGTCTGACTGCAAAATCTATGTTATCAGCTCCTTCCACCTGTAACCCAGCTCTTCATAAGTTCTTGATGACATTCCTATTTGCTAGTGTTTCTGGGATCCAGACTTCCAAAGTTAAACTTGGGGCTTGAGGTCTTGCTGCAGCTTTCACACCAAGGCCAGCGTACATGTCTCTTCTCAAATACCTGCTTCTGTCAGTGGGACCACAAGTCTCTCCAGAGTGGGTGTTGTTTTCATTGTGTAAGCCCAGCAATTCAATTGTTTCTTTGCATTTCACAACAATCTTTGTTGATATATAAAACATGATTTTATATATATATATATATGTAAACTTAGGCGAGCTTTTCTCTATGATAAATCAATTTCAAAACCATTGAGATTGGTTGTAATTCTCTAGTTCACTCAAATCTTTTGGTCAAATGTATTTAAGACCGGAAGGTTCACAAAGGTGATGTCAATTGATTAAGTTGATTTTCTCACTCACACTCCCACATTAATCTTGCTCATATGTAATCTCCTGGCAAGCTTGTTTCTTGGTTCTGCCTCAAACCACCATTCTTATTCCTACTCTTTTTAACTGTACACTGACACCAACTCTTTTAAAGTATTTTACTTAATCTGTATGAGTGTTTTGCTTGTATGTGTATACATACACCGTGTGTATGTCTGATGCCTACAGCAGCCAGAACATGGCACTGGATCTCTTGAAACTAGAACTACAGACAGGTATAAGAAACCATGTAAATCCTGGGAACAAAACACAGGTCCTTTAAAAGAGCAGCCATTGCTCTTAACCACTGAGCCATATCTTAAGCCCCCAATCATTCTTATTCTGAACTTCAAGGAGTGACAGATACAAATACTCCCTCCTTAGAATGTCCATGATTTCCCTCTGTTTCAGAAGATGCTTATCACTCAGCTGGGGCCCAAATCATGGCTCACAGCTTTCAAAAAACATTCTCCAACACATGTACCATGCCATAACTGCT